GCGATAAATTGTGGTTTTGGATGGGGCTTCATCACCAAATGCAGAAATCATCCAGTCAACACACTGTTTTTGTGTTAAACCACTTCGAAAGTCATAATAAATCATCGCTCTTGAATTTTCTCGAGTCAATTCCATTTTCTCAACGACTAAACAAGTTTGACAAAACCTTGTGACAAGACCGAGAATCTTTTTTTAAATAAATAAATTGTATTCGATTTTTAAAACCAAGGGGTTTTCAATTAAAAAGATTTTAATATGACAGGAACAGTGGAAATATTCCATTTCCGATACTTTTAGTGCAGTCTATGTATAAAATTCTTTAGCTTTCCTAGATGTTTTAGTCATCCGAAATCCTGATAACACTATTGGTCACACTGTGTATAGGAAAATGACACATACCAACCGATATTTAAATGGTGAATCGCACCATCATTCAACACAGTTAGCTACCGTGGGAAAATCTTTGTTTCGGAGGGCACGAGGGATTTTTGACAGAAAACATCTGGCCGCCGAGCTTTAGCACGTCGAGCAAGTATTGCAAGACAAGCTTCGGGCCCCGCGCCTACGTCACAGTGACCGAGTGAAGCCGGCCACAGTTGAGCATACAGGCTACACATAGGCTACATCTTGAAACGAGCTTTCATTCAAACATATTTCAAGCCGCCGAAGAAAATTAGTCAATTTTTACCATCCGTCAAGTGTCATATCCCTCTACAAGATGCAGGAATGCAAGCTAGCTAGATTGTGAATGTGGTCTCTCTTACATAGGACAAACAAAAAGATCTATTAAAACCCGCGTGAAAGTACATAGCTGATTTGAAGCAATGACATTCCGGGAAGTCTGCAGTGTGTGAACATGTTCTAGATCGTCCCCGCCATTACATTAGATTTGATAGACCACAAATCCTCGCATAAGAACACCGATTCCTTCCAAGGATGATTCGCGAGGCTATTGAAATTAAAAAACATCCTAATGTCAATAGAGAAGACGGATGGGTGCTGCCATCTGCTTGGGATCCTATAATTAATAAAATTAAATCCAAACCCAAGCATACCACTGCAAGACTTCAAGATACTTTAAGCTCATTCTGTGTAGATCGGACCAAAAATTAATATTCAAAAACTGAAGGTAGCGGGGGTAGAATTGAAAAGTTGAATTAAACGCGGTCAAATCCGTAAATATTAGTTTCATTTAATGTGTTGTCTTCGCGTAAATATAAGAAATCATTATATCTATATAGTTTTCTCATTTGGTTGGGCTGTATAAATATATAATTGTGAATGAAAATGATAAACATACATAAATATCAATAAAATAAAATAAATACATAAAAATACATAAATAAATAAAAACCCAACCAGATGGAAGCCCTCGGCAAGGGCAGACCAAACGTTCGGGGGTTAGGGGGAAAAGTAAAGAAACCTACGGACGATGCGGGTGGTATCGAGGAGCACCGCCTTCTGCATTTGAGCTTGTAGCGATCCGTCACGTAGTCCCAGTCGCCTGAGATGACTCGAGAGGCTGACTGGGATTAACCCGTTCCCAAAAACGACTACAGGTATAATTTCGGTCGGCAGTCCACCCGACATGTCGGTCACCTCGTTATTATTATTATTATTAATTTGTATTCGTAAGCACGAACACAGCTCCCGGCTGACGGACGAAGCTCGAAGAAAGGGATGATGGTGGAAAGAAAGAATTTTATATTCTGTTTAAAAATTACCTAATCATTCTGCATATCTTTAGATGTCAATTTAGTATTTCTTTTAAAGTTACAAAGGAACTAAATAGATGTGATAAACCACCAGCAATCAAACTCTTTGTGGTTTATACTGGAATGCAAGAAAACCGGCTTCAAAAAGAAGGAGGTACTCAATATGACTGTATGTTTTTTTATGTGTGTTACCCCATAACTTTTTTCTGGGTGAACCGATTTATTTGAAAGTAGGTGCTTCTCATGTGGTGCCATATACATTTGATCTGGGTCTAACCAATAGTTTTTGAGTTATTCTTAATAATTTATATATATAATTTATTATATATATATATATATAATTTATATTGAATTACAGTGGTAGAGCCACGCGGCAGCTTTAGCTGTCGCACGGTTGGGCCGGCTCGAACCGGGGTGGTACCACGACCTCACAGAAAACTAGCGTGAAGTAGAGGTTTGCTTCTATGTTTCGCTTGGTGAGTGCAGGTGGCCGGAGGCCCTTTTTACCGCATCTACATTTTGATTTGTAATAGAGGATAGATGTAGATGTCTATGGACCGTAGCATCCACTTACCATCAGTTGGACTGTGTGCTCGTTTGTCACCCTTATCCTATAAAAAAAAATTGAAGTCAAAGTACAAAATTTTTAATTATTTACGAATAAGGTTTATATTTTGAATAAATAAAAAAATAGAACGCCACTTGGTTTATCGCCGTTTGAAGAATCCTTGTTGAGGTATAAAGGGGAGTGGTGTGAAATTGAGAAGATACAACATCAGGGCATGTAGATACTTGATGTATTCTCACTTAGAATTTATTGTTATAATGAAATTTTATTAAACAATTTAGAAGGTTGCACTTTTGATGAAAGTTTTTTTTAAGTTTTCCAAAATTGATGGATTATTAATGCAGTTTGGAATTAAAGTTAGTTGCTTCATCAGAAATAGGAATACTTTCCTATTTCTTAAAGCGATAAGCTGTTCTAAATAACAGTCATTAGTAGCAAGTAGTACTAACTTTAATCTCTTATTTTTTTTCTAGACTTAACAGAATTTATTCCGAGCAACCGTGCCAGTGGACGTGGAATGGGTAAGATACTTGTGTACAGAGGTTTTACTTTCTCCTGTAAGCATATGAAAACGAGGTGGTACTGCTCAAAAACATCCTTCGGGTGCAAAATGAGACTTCGAACTACTCCCGAGGGGCAAGTCATAGAATCACAGAACGAGCACAATCACGATCCTCCTAATTTGTATCGATGCGTTGGTGGGAAGTTACATAAATGTTAAAATATTTTAAATTTATACAGTTACATTAGTTTTTTTTTTTTAAGTTAGTCTAAGTTAATGGTAAAAATGGTAGCATACGGCTCTTGCTTTCGAGGGCTCCATGGTGCAGTGACTTGGCATTGAGTTACAGCGCTAAGGACCGTGGATTCGAATCCCGCACGAAACAAGTATCTGTATGGCCTACAAATAACTGTTCCGCGTCTGGATGTTTGTCCGTGAGCAATTAATGTATGTAAACTGCCTCCACGATACAGGAGAAAATCCTAGTTTGGGGGTAACGTTTTTAAAAATAAGAAAAATAAACTCAAAGGCAATCTTGTTCAATTTTTCGTATCAAATGGAAGACGAAATTTACGATCTGCACAAGGTTTGGTGTATCAGCAGAGCGATTGTGTTATTCTGTTGAGAACCTTCATGGGATTGTTTCTTTAGCTCTTGCTATTTTTTTTATGAATATGATAATTGTATCATAAGCTTATAAGTAAACACAAAATATATACAATATGTAAAAACACTCCTTTCGATCCGAAAGCGGTGTGGGTATCGTATAATGACGTTGACGAATAAATGTATTATTAATAAATAAGTATAAAAAATATTTATATATTATATATAAAATATTATATTATATATGTATATATAAAATATGTATATTACTGTTAGTAATAATACATGTTTTTACTACAATTTGATTTAAATTCAATAAATTTTTAAAATCTTGTACTTAATGCAATAAAATTTTACTACACTTTTGCGGGGTAATTTTTATCATATAGCGATACCTGAAACGCGGGTCGAACAGGGTTTTATTAATACATATTGTATATATAGCAAGCAATAAATAATAGAAAACGTTAGAGTACTAGTTTTCTGTCTACTATTTTTTAATAAATGTACACCGTGTGTCTTTAGTTATGGAATGTAGATCCTAAAATAATTAAATGAAACTATTCTTTTCGTATTCTATCGCGTTTATTTTTTTTAATTCTTGACGTTTCGGGTGCTTTACAGCACCTATGGTCACGGGGGGAACTGAGATGTTTGACGTCCCGATTTCATAGTTAGCCCGGCTACCTTCACTTTTTGAATATTCATGTTTGGTACGATCTACTCAGAATGAGCTTATTATTTGAAGCACCGACGTTGCGGGAAGTCTACAGTCTGTGAACATGTTCAAGATTGTCCCCGTCCTATAATTAATAAAATTAAATCTAAACCCAAGCGTACCACTGCAAGACTTCGAGATACTGTAAGCTCATTCTGCGTAGATCGAACCAAAAATTAATATTAAAAAACTGAAGGTAGCCGGGCTAACTATGATATCAGGACGTCAAACACCTCAGTCCATGGGTTCATGGGTCCATGGGTCCGTGAACATGGGTTACTGTAAAGCACCCGAAACGTCAAGAATTAAAAAAGTTAAATTAAACGCGATAGAATCCGTAAATATTTGTTGCATTTAATGTGTAGTGTGTCCGCGTAAATATAAGAAATCATTATCATATTAAAATAATTTTAAATATTATGTTCTGCGTATACACATTACAATTCAATATTTTTGACATAAACATTCCGATTGCAAAATAAACGTAAATAGGTTTATGTTTAATAGAAATTAATTAATAAAGTTTAATACCTAATAAAATTTAGTAAAAATTTAGTAAGTAATTGTCTCATTCGTATAATTCATCGCTGTTATTCTCAACAGTTATATTACCATTAATAAACATTTATTTTATGTATCATGGATATTTCTAACTATTAACTTTATTAATTTGGATTTTTCTTATTATTTGATTCTTATTAAATGACAAAATTAACCAAATTAAGGAACTGAAAATTTTACAGGAAAGAAACGATTTTGTAATTAACATTATATTCAATTTGTTTCATACATGTAAGCGTTTATTAAGAAAATAATAATGAAAAAGATGAATCTCGAAGGAAAAAAAAAGGATTAAATACTACGTAATTATACTGCACATGTATTGTACAGATGCCAATTGAGCCTTTTCTTCTAAGTTACTACGACACTGAACGTGACTCGATATATCAACGTTCGAGGAATCCTTTGTTGAGGCATAAAGGTGAGTGGTCTGAAATTCAGAAGATACTACACGGGGGAATATATAATGTTTAACGTCTTCGCACTTACACTTCATTGTTATGATGACATCATGTTATAAATTTTAATAAACAATTTAGAAGGCTGCACTTTTGTTTAATGACAAATAAAAATTTAAAAAAAAATGCGTGAGTGTTGTGAAACACTCGGTTGGAACGAAGTTCCTTGCATAGTATATTATTATTGATAAACGTAGGTATTATATTATTGATTAACAAATACAAATAAATGAATTACTAGCGTCTATTAAAATGAAGCGTCATTTGAAATAAAATAATATTCCTTTCATGGCAAGATAAGAAAAAGTGCGAGGGAGATGGATATTATTCCATTTCACTTCCGTATTTCGTCGCCAAAAGACGAAAAAATCTTACACTTTTTGTCGCCTAGCTCCCATCCGCCAAATCCATACAGTCCGATAAAGAACTGAGTTCCATCAATTTTTAAAAACAGTCACCTTAATTAATTGATTATTATTATTGATGTTTGGAATTGAAGTATTTCGCTTTATCAGAAATAAGAATCATTTCCTAACGTGTTCTCAATAATAGTCATTAATAGTACTACATTTAATATTTCTTTTATAGACCTAACAGAATTTATTCCGAGCAACCGCGGCAGAAGGCATGGAAAGGGTACGGTACTTGTGTACAGAGGCTTTACATTCGCCAGCATGAATAATAAAACGAGGTGGTACTGTTCAAAAAAAGCGTCCGGGTGCAAAATGAAACTTCTAACTACTCCCGAGGGGCAAGTTATAGAATCACAGAACGAGCACAATCACGATCCTCCTAATTTGTATCGATCCGCTGATGGGCAGATATATAGACTTTAAGTTGTTTTTAATACAAATTTATATAGTTCGTATTATATTAGCTTAGGTAGAAAACTCGAAGGCAATTGTGTTAAATTTTCTGTATCAAATGTAAGACGAAATGTACGATCTGCAGGTTTGAAGTATCAGCAGAGCAATTGTGTTATTCTCTTGAGAACCTATTCATGGGTTTCTGTAGGTCTTGCGATTTTTTTTAATTAATATGATAGTTGTGTCATAACATACATAATATTTAATATGTAAAAACACCCTTTTCTATCCACTGGGAGCACACAAGTATCGTAACGACGTTAACAAAAAAAATTGTAGGTACATCTTATTATTAATAAGTATAAAATGTTATTGTTATTAATAATACATGTTTTTACTACAATTTGATTAAAATTCAGATTTTTAAAATCTTGTACCTAACCGTAGTCAGCGATGTAACCTTGGAACATGTGGCAATACCCGACGTGTGAACGTGCGCCGCATGTTATGCCGCATACAACTGAACGCACATTTTTCAGCACCGTACGCGCCGCACGCGACTTACGCGCTGCATTTACTGATGTCCTCGCACATTTGCACGTACGCGCCGTACGCGTAGAACGCAAATATTTTGTATTGCCAACAATTTTTGCAGTTTTTTTCCAATCAATGGTGTGAAACGGTACACTGACATTGATACATATACTAAAACCTATTTAAAATATATTTCGACACTAAAGTCGAAACCACCAGTTTCACTGGAAAATCCAATAAGTTGACTAAGTTAGACAACACTGAGTATCAGCTGCACGTGTCAAACGCGCCACTTTATAATATGGTGTAATGTGCGAGGTTTCATATTATGATTTCATAATATGAAACCTAAAATGTGTCACGTACGGCGCGTGCGGCGCGTACGATGCTGACAAATATGCGTTCAGCTTAAGTGACAGAACCATTTAAAAAAAAAACGTTACCCCCACACTAGGATTTTCTTCTGTGTCGTGGAGGCAGTTTACAAACATAAATTGTACAAGGACAAATATCCAGACCCGTAACAATTATTTGTAGGCCATACAAATACTTGCTTCGTGCGGGATTCTAACCCGCGGCCCCCAGCGCAACACCTCATTGCTAAGCCACTGCGCCACGGAGCCGTGAAATGTAATAAAATTCTATTTCAACCATAGGTTCCTAAAAGCACCCACACGGGTCGGGCAGGTCCACAGGGACAACATATTGTATATACAAGCAGCAATAAGTAAGCAATAAGTTATTACATCGAATTTGTTTCATATATAAGACATTGAGTTTGGCATACTAGTTTTTACTAGTTTTCTGCCTTTACTCGCTTTTATGAAAATTACACTGTGTATCTTTTGAGGTAGAATGTAGATCGTATAATAATCCTGATTCAATATTTTTAACAAAGACATTAAATCATTCCTATTGCAATACAAATGTTAATGTAGATTGTAGTTATTATTACTGTTTATTAATAAATAAACTGCAATAATTAATAAAGAAAAACTATTTAATACTTAATTGTCTCATTTATATAATTCATCGCTGTTAATCTCAATGTTTCCCATACCATTAATAAACCTTATTGTTAACAATAATTTATGACAATGCCACGTTGAAAAGATTCAAATTTTTTTAAAAGTGTAATTGTCTTATTTAAAATTTAATAAACAATTGTGATAAAATAAATAATTAATTAATGATAATTTTGAGATTAAAGGTGGATCCTGTATGGATCCACCTTTAATCTCAAAATGTGGATAGGCATTGGACGATAACGACATCGTTATGAGTCATAGAAATTAGAATTTTAAACGTTAAAACTATAGATAAATACTTAATAATATCATTGAGTTATATGTACTACGTACTAGAGAAGCTATTCCAAACAAAAATTGTGCGCTGCTCTATGTCTTCGCGCATGCGCGGGACTTAATATAAAATAAGATATTAATATAAAATAAATGTAAGAATTTAATATAAAATACTCTTATTTTAATCTAAACAAACATATTTCTAATAAAAATGTAATAAAAATTATCTTATGGAATTCACAAATCTTCAATTCACGCAATATTTAGTTTTAGTGTACGGATTGCAGTACAGTTAAGTTGAACATAGTCAATGTTCGGAATGCGAAATCTAGTGCGTAATACATGTATCGATGTAATAATATAATCGATTACGTAATAATAGTTACATGGTGGATCCATGCTGCAGCCATATTATAATTATAGCACGAATGTGTCGGCTCGACCCGAATAGGATCACATTCACAGAATACCAGCGTAAAATAGCAGCTCAATGCTGCTGTGTTTTGTATGATGGGTGTAGATAATCGGAGAACCTTTTTACTGAAAACGAGGCATTCCATGCTAGTCTTCAGGAGTTGCAACGCATTTGCATTTTGATTCTTAATCGAGGATAGATGTATATGTTTATTGTGATGTCTATTGGCCACAGCATCCACTTACCATCAGGTGGACTGTGTGCTCGTTTGTCACTTTTATTATATATAAAAAAAAATTCTTTTACTTTAGAATAAAGTAATTTTAGCGGGGTTAGTTGCACGAATCTTGTGCACGGAGTGACAGTTTTTGGCCCAAGTTCACGCATGTACTCTTCCTAGAAAATATACAGCAAGTAAATAACACAATACCCCATTAACATCGACCTTAAAATCGATTATTGCGTAATAGCTATAGGTAGTGTTCACGACTCATGCCAAAATATGCTCAGATATGTCAATGATCAATTATCACCTAACTCATCCTTTTTAAAATTTAAACACTTGACAGTAATGGTTAATATTAAGTGAGAAATGGTTTTACAGACTCTGATGAGGTGCCAGCTTTTCTCCGCTATTATCGTCATTATAAACATGAAAATCCAGAGAAATTTTTGTGTCCTGAAGCCGAGGAACCAGTGCAAGTGAAGAACCCGATTTTTCGTGTCAGTGATATCTTAAGTTCTATTATACCGAAAAAGAAACTTCCATAAGTGTATCGTATCTTGTTATAATTTAACTTAACCTCTTGTACGTCGTTAACTATTTGTGAATAAATGGTGTGTGATTTTGTTTGTTTTTTTTAAATATTTTAGGTGTCACTTATTATAAGGATGTTAAAAAAATTAATTAGCTAATCTATACAATCTATACAAATAAATAAAATAGAAGTGCCTGTTTGTAATGTCAAAATAACAGCTTTTTACTAAATGCATATGAAAGTAAATACGGTACTTATAACTATAATACAATTTTTAAAATTTTTGTCTGTATGTCTGTCTGTCTGTCTGTTTGTTCCGGCTAATCTCCGAAACGGCTGGACCGATTTTGACGCGACTTTCACTGGCAGATAGCTGATGACATAAGGAGTAACTTAGGCTAGTTTTATTTTAGAAAAATAATTATGGTTCCGCGCAAAAAAATAAAAACCCTAACACGCGAGGGAAGTCGTGGAGAACAGCTAGTATAAAATTAAAATTATGTGTCAGTTAGTAATCAGCCACCGCGGAGTCTACTTCACATAAGGATGCCGCGTGTAGATGCGAAACAAGTGTCGTATTATCATATTATGGTATGTCTTACCTAGTGTAGCGGTGCTGGGGTTTGTGTTGACAGGGATAGTGCACGCAATTGAGAAGGGCGGGAGATGCTCTTCAAACTAGGTAAGACATGTCATTTTATTTAATTACGCGGATCTTCGCTAATAATTTTTTTAACATCTATACAAATAAATAAAATTGAAGTGTCTGTTTGTAATGTCAAAATTACAGCTTTTTACTAAATGCATATGAAAAGATATATGGTACTTATAACAAATATGCAATTTTAAAATTTTTGTCTGTCTGTTTGTTTGTCTTTCTGTCTGTCTGTTTGTTCCGGCTAGTTTCCGAAACGGCTGGACCAATTTTCACGGGACTTTCACTGGAAAATGGGTAATTTTATAAGGAGTAACTTACGCTACTTTTATTTTACAAAAATAATTAGGGTTCCGCGCAAAAAAAATTAAAACCCTAAATTACACGCGAGCGAAGTCGCGGGGAACAGCTAGTCTTTAATATAATGGATTTCTGCAAAGTAACGCCTGATTCTTATGTCACCTATTTTCCAGTTACATGGAATTATCAACCTTTAAATACATTACTAAAATAGTTCAGAAACAAATGAGTTTACTTTTGTAGCAATTTAATAAGTGCTGTATTAAGTGCTGTATCCTGTGAACCGAATTTTTTTTAGCTATCAATGAATACGCCATCAATCTTTCATAAAATTTATCATCTCCCATGTCCCATGCAATAATTTTTTTGCTGCTTTAACACTAAGATATATTTTTTTAAATAAATTTACCTTATAATACATGCATGTATACAATTCACATTTTTATTGATAATGCCATGGGCTCACTCGATCATACCCTAATCTATATATACATCAAAAACACAAATCATAAAAAAACAGCACTTCAACTTATTGATTTTTGTAAATAATTCACAATTTTTTCAGAGTTGTAGGTAATTGAGATTATTGTTTTACCAACTCTCAAATTCCCCAGATTATGGCTCCTCTCTCAATATGGATGACATTAATCTTCACTTTGTTTCTATTACTTCATTGAACCCTCAGCCTCTTCTTATAACCGACTTTTGTTTCTACGCTGTTACTCTAATGTGTCAGTAAGCAAATGATATCTATGATACTTGAGTGCCTATTTCCAGCTATAACACATATTATAAATTATTTTCTGGGCTCAAGTCAATACCCTCCTGCATGGAAAAAGGCTTTTGTACGACCCCTTCCTAAAATACCTAATCCTGTACTCCCTAACCATTTTCGTCCTATTTCAACTCTCCCGTACCTCTCTAAAGTTCTGAAAGCTTGTTTTTTAAGCAAATATCTATGTTTACTGCAAAACATAACCTGCAGAATGAATTTCAATCGCGGTTTCGCTCTGGTCGCAGCACTACCATTTCGCTTATCTTTTTTTTCTCGACTTTTCAAACGCTTTCAACACAGTAGATCATGGTATCCTCCTATCTTTCCTCAAACACCTTAAATTTTCACCACAGCCTAGGAGTGGTTCTTTTCTTTTATTCGCGGTCGCCAGCAATCGGTTCGCTCAAGTCAACGTTTTTCTGCATGGACTGAAATTGAATCTGGTGTGCCGCAAGGCGGAATACTTTCTCCTATTATGTTTTCTTTATTTATAAACTCTATCTCCTCAGTTTTAGATTGTTCGTACCATCTGTATGCGGATCATCTTCAGCTCTATGTGCAGTCAGGCTTAAATAATATTAACTTTGTAATACATAAACTAAATAATAACCTGGAAGCCATAAGAGAATGGTCGTGTAAATATGGCTTCGGAATTTCGCAATCATTGGCTAAGATTGATTATAGAAATCTCTCTCCTGTAATTTATAATGGAACTTTGATTCCATTTTGCGGTTCCATAAAAAATCTTGGCTTGTACATGGACAAAACTATGACCTGGAAATTGCAGATCTCTCAAGTAAGTCGTAAAGGTGTTGCACCTTGTGTTCCCTTTATCGTCTTAAAAATTTCCTACCTTTCAAAACGAAGCTTACGCTTGTTCATTCCCTCATTCTACCTATTATAGATTATGCTGATGTATGCTACCCAGATCTGTAACAAAATCTTCTAAACAAGTTGGAGCGCCTTCTTAATAATTCCATATGGTTTATTTTCGGTTTACGTAAGTATGACCACATATCTTCCTATCGTTTACTCGTAAAGCTTAAATGGCTACCTATACGTCAAAGGCCATGCTCTAAAAATTTACTTGTACTATATTTAATTTTAAACGATCCAAGGTCGCCATCTTATCTTAAGGATAACTTTCATTTTCTTCATTTGATTGACGGTCGAACACCACGAAAATCACGTTGTCTGAGCGTAAGGTTTCCATAGGATAGGTCTAATTTTTCCGGTCCTCTTTTACGATACAAGCTATACATCTTTGGAACACCCTCCCCAATGGTACTAAGAATGCAACAAATGAAAACTCCTTTAAATTACTTCTACGACAACATTATACCTGAGGGCACTTACTAACTGACATCATTTTTTTTTCTTCAAATGTTTATTTATTTATAAAGTTGTATTATGTGTTATTAAAGTATGTATTATTGTATGTAAATATATGTTATATTTATGTATATTTAAATATATGTTGTGTATGTATGTACTATGTATGTATTAAATTTTAATATAAATACACTTAATTTATGTATTATGTTTCGCACCTGTCTACAATAGTCTTTGGCACCCAGGGTTGACTGGCAGAGAATGCCACATGGCATTAAATCCGCCCTATATACCCTTTACCTTAAGGTGTTAAATTTATGTTTTCAAATAAATAAATTATTTAATAAAATCTCTGATGTTATTTTCTTATAACGTTAGTGGTTTTTTTTATAAAACTGAAATGAAAAAAGACCTGTCCAGCTGATGGTAAGTGGGTACTGCAGCCTATGTACACCTGTAACTAACTTTAAACAAAGAAGGCTGCAGATGCGTCATCACCTCTCAATATTGCTGTCTGGTTAATCAAATTTGTAGTAAGTATTGTAGTGATTAGCGCATCTGCATTTTGATTCGCAAACGAGGATAGATGTAGATGTCTATGGGTCATAGCAACCACGTACCATCAGGTGGACTGTGTGCTCGATTGTCACCCTATCCTATAAAAAAAATCAACAGTGCGTACATTGCTATGTTTCGGTATGAAGGGAATAAAGATCCAGCATAATATAATATATAGTATGATGTAATCTTAGTCCTCAGTGGTGACAACGGATCTTTGACCTGCTTTGTTTAAAGTTGGTAGCAAGTGTCCATAAGCTGCAGTAGACATTTGCCATCAGGTGGAATGTTAGTCCACCGCTGAACATATACTTCCCTCATAGAATGATCCACATCCTTGCCTATGGATGTTTGCCATGGTGGCCACGTTTGGCAGGCGGGTTGGCAATTGCGGTTCTTTATTGCTCGAGTTGTTATTGGAGGATGCTGCTCCTTACTGGTTTCAATTTTCCTCTGTTGTCTTTTAGGGGTAGTGGATTCTCGTACCACCATTACATGGCGAAATTAGTATCTAAGAATTATATCTTTCAGTGAGCTCATATGGTCTTTTTATAGGATAAGGTTGACAAACGAGCACACGGTCCACCTGATGGTAAATGGTTGCTGTGGCCCATAGACATCTACATCTATCCTCGATTACGAATCAAAATGCAGATGAGTTTAAATAAAACTAGTTCTACAGCTTTTATCGCGTATATTAACTTATTTTATATTCCCGACGTTTCGAGCACTTTACAACACCCATGGTCACGGGGGTGACTGAGGTGTATGACATCCCAACGTCATAGTTTATCACGGCTACTTCCAGATTAAAAATGATTAATTTTTGTTCCGATCTACACATTACTCCAGATTAAAAATTAATATTTTTTAATCTACAGATACTCCAGATTAAAAGTTAATTAAGAGGTAGCCGTGGTTAACTATGACATTGGGACGTCATACACCTCAGTCCCCCCCCCCCCCTTCATGACTATGGGTGCTGTAAAGTGCTCGAAACGTCGGGAATATAAAATAAGTTAATATACGCGATAAAATCCGTAAAACTAGTTTTATTTGAATGTGTAGTGTTCGCGTAAATATAAGAAATCATTACGCAAATGAGTTGTCACCCGTGAGGACTAAGATGGAATGCCTCTTTTCCAGTAAAAAGGGTCTCCGGTTCTTTACACTCACCATACACACAGCAGCGTTAACCTGCTATTTTACGCTGGTATTCTGTGAGAGCGTGGTTCTTCCCCGGTCGAGCCGACCTATTCGTGCTACAACTATACCAGTAATATAGCTGCTTTATATTTGCATCTTGTATTTTCAGGTCGCGGGTATAAGATCATACAGTTAGCATCGACCCGCAAATATCTTGTGATGTACGAGGACTACTCATTTTCATACCAAGGCCGTAAGGATGTAAAGAAGTATCTTTACTGCTCGAGGAGACTCTCGACGAAATGTCCAGCTCGGCTTCATTTGGATGAAACTGGTCACATTGTTAAAGCCCACGCTAATCACAACCACCCGCCTCCGAAGTATACTATAACTAAATGTGGCACTTATATAAAAATAGCTTAATCTGTTTCTTGTATTTCTTTGGAGTTAATTTATAAATTGTTTACTTATATGAGATTTATTTGGAATTTTGAATATTTTGAAGAGGATTTTGAAGCAATAGAAAACTGTGTGACGAATCTAAAATAGTGTAACGAAATAATGGTTTAATAAACGAAATTTTCAAATCATTAAGTCAACCTCTGGTGACAATATTTCCATTTTGTAATTAAATTGATAAATTTCAATATGATCATTGAAAACAATTACGCAAAAAGTGGATAGAATCTCACACTACCCTTATCATTGTATATCAATCCAAACCTCAAACGTTCCAATTAATTAATTAAAATTATTTTACATAACAATTGTATTCTTATTTATATTTATTTTTATCCTTAAGGATGAGTAATTAAAAATCAACTTTAGTAGCTCACATTAGTTCTAACTAGATTTGTCGTATACTTGAAAAGTAGAGGCTGAGTTGAGGCGAGTCTAGGCCGCGGATCTAGCCAGTGCATCTGCGTTTATTCTTGAGGTAACGTTGGGAAGAGGCGCCGTTTGGTCAGCAGCGAGACTTGTATTTGTTGGCGAAATATCCTAATTGTGAAGTGCATAATTTTCTTAAGGTATTGTTTGTACTTACCTGACAATTGTCTTCGTTTAAAAAACATGTGTGCGGTTCACACGCCGTAGAAGTGAATCCTGCCGAAAACTAAACTTCGAGAGAATGAAACGAATGCAGAGTATCTGGAGTAGGATAATTGTACATATTATATTACATTACATATTATACAGACTCTATGTTTTCAATGTAATCATCGTAAGTCATTGAGTTATGTACTACGTACTAGAGAAGCTACTCCAAACAAAAAAAATGTGCGCTACTCTATGTCTTCGCGTATGCGCGGTAGATACTTGTAGTAGAGTCGCGCATGCGCGGTCAGTTTTTGTCATCATAGATTAGGTATGCGTAGGTAGAGTGATCGGTATGTAATAATAGTTTATTTAGATTATGTGGTTAATTATATCGAATACAATTTTTTTTAAATTTTCATTTATTTTGCATATGTGCATGAGTGTTTTATATTAAATTATATTATAAAATATTCTTATTTTAATCTAAACAAACATATTTATAAATGAAATGTAATTATAATTATCTTTGACAATAAATGTATGTTTAAATATTTTACATAGTTATCTTTAAAAATATTCAAAGAAAATATTATTAAAATGTAATTGTGACATTAATAAATAAGGTTTCGTTCGTCGTTCGTTAGTCGGGGCGGGTGATGTGCCTTATGAATTACTTGTAAGGAAACATTGTAGGAAACTAAAAGAGAATGAATTGTTATGCGTTTATTCCAGCTTGTTGAGCATGAGAATAAAATAAAAAATAAAATAAAATGGTATTTTATACCAATACATACACATATACGTATACATATTTTACCTAAATTCGGTTTTGTAATGGAACATCTGCATTTTTTAGTCTATGATTGTAGATAGAATAAGAATTTAATTTTTTCAATTGTAATATTACGATATTATTACCTATTTATTCACTTGAACAACAAATAACTTTACTTGACTACTGAATTGTTAACTCGTTTTATTAGCGCCACAGCATGGATACGAGTATTGAAGCCACACTAAATTACACTATACTAAGGTGTACGGATTGCAGTACAGTTCAACTGAACATAGTGCATGTTATGAATGCGAAATCTAGTGCGTAGTACATATATTATATCAATGTCGTAAGTACTTAAATATTTTCTAATTAACAAGTTTTGTCCTTAATCCTTACTGCTCATAGATTACATGCATAATCTCATACATAATAGGAATATCAACATACATAATAGGAAACACTATATACTGTATTCTATCTCATTCACTCGCAGGCTAAATCCTATAGATGTATAATATGTTTGTCTCTGTTTAGCGTCCCTTTTTCGTTTCATCGAGTTCCAAATCACAACGATTCTAAAGAAGTTTTCACTTCAAAAATATAGAATTGTGGCGGCGCTGTCGTCGCGCTACAAACGAAACAACATCGAAAGTCTAAATCGCGCTATTAAAGTTCCGAAGTAAAACAGTATATAGTAAAACAGTTTAATAAGTATTTCGAATAACTCCGAACTACCACTTGGAGCGTTAGCCGCTCTCCGGGCTGAACAACCTGCCCGGGGAGCGGCCACGCTCCAAGTCTCTCTTTCACTTTCCCTTTCTCCCCTTTTCCTTTTTTTTTTTGAGAATAAATATGCTAGCCGCGATCTCAAAATTTTTGTATTTACAATTAGTACAAAATGTGTGTCTTTGTTTCACAGATTTTCAATACGAAATAATAAAAGTTGGAACTACAGGCAAATCCGTCATTATGTACCAAAATTATACATTTTCTTACCAAGGTCCGAAGAATGTAAAGCTGTATCCATACTGTTCGAAAAAGAACTCGACTAAATGCCCAGCTAGACTGAAACTAGACAAGGAAGGCAACATTATATATGCCATTACCGAACACAATCATCCACCGCCTAAATATACGAGAGCCAGCGGTGGTTTATATATTAAAATTGACTGAATTATATAGATAACGGACAGGTACAAATTAGAAGCAATTGAAGAACTCAATACATAATTGTCTATTAAATATTAGTCACACATAATGATTTAATGTGTTTTCGCGAATACTACACAAGGAATAAAACTAATTTTACGGATTTCACTGCTTAATTTTAACTTTTTAATTCCCAACGTTTTGTTCACACACAAAAAGATCCATGAATCCGCATAGTATCCGCGTTAAAGAACATAGAGCTGATGTGAGGGTTGTTTGCACTATGCCAAAGTGTTCAAGATCACCCCAACCATTACGACAGATTTTATAGACCACAAATACTCTCAAAAGAACACTGGATGTCTACCAAGAAAGATTAGAGGGCTATTGAAATAAAAAAATCATTCTTATTTCAATAGATATGATTGATGGTGTTGCCATCTGCTTGGGATCCCAACCACAATTACTAAATTTAAATCCAAGCTGAAGCACTATTTCTACTACTAACTGCAAGACTTCAACATACAGTAAGTTTGTTATAGCAAAAATTGATATTTAAAAGTTAAAATGTAGCAAAATTTAAAAAATTAGTAAACTATTACACCACGACCTCAAACACCTTATTTCTCCATGTGAACATGGGTGCTGTAAAGTGTCTGTTAAAAAAAATAATTTAATTCGTTAAAATTCGTCAAATTAGTATTATTCTATATTATTCATACAAATAATTATTAAGAGTCCTGCAAGCTGAAGGGCTGGATTGTCATCCTTAAATATCATTGTATGCGAACATAAACCGAAAGTAGATCCTCGCCAGCGCCATTAGAATACTAGAACCAAGAATACTAGCGTTAAAATAGCAGTATAATCTGTGTGTCGCATAGTGAGTGATCAGAACCGGAGACCCTGCGTGAATATGATTAAATGGACCGTTAGCTCGTTTTTCCCTATAATATTATAATAAAATGAGAATTAATATTTTTAGTTAACATATTTTGAAAGACTTTTCCAACATCATTAAAAAATGTACGCGTTAAATATCACAAGAATGGAACTGCGTCATTCGGTGACTGCCTGTAGTGTGAGTCGATGCGTTTGGCATGATATTTATGCATGCTAAGTTGGCAATATCGCCAAATATTCGTAAGAACTCACCTCTTTCCATTGCAAATACTAATAAGAAATATAGAATATAGTGTTTTCGATGATAATGATTGCTTGTCTACGGGTGTAGCGATTCACACTGCACGGTGTCCCTTCCCATATTATGCCCAGATTCATAAACCCCACTCGGACTACAGTCAGATAGCTGTACATTAAGTATAAGCTACCTTTTTACAGAAGTCTTAACGAACAGAAACATTTATCAGATCCGTTTATCATTATCATCACTAGTTAAAATTTTATAGTCATCTGATGGTCTTCCGTCTTTCACCAACCCAAAAACGAAAATGCTCGTTCATCTACTGCTGGTAATCACAAGTATTTTTCTTGACTTTATGTTGCAGTACAATGATATAAACACCTGAATTAATAATACCACTATAATTGTTCATTGTACCACTGATATATCTCCGTCTCTCTCATCTTGTACCTTTGTTGGAACATGCTTATGCCAGCGGTTTTCTCAGAAATAAAGCTCAGCGGTGGACTTATTATAGACTAATGACAATTGAATTAAATTCAACATATTAGTGCAGTGCTTGTGTACGTCATCTGCAACCGTGCTGTGTATCTTAATGTTCCTTATTAGTGCTTGCCATCATTGCAGAAAATCATTTCTAAATAGCATATTTTGTAATTTTGTAGAGCTTGCAAATTAAATAAATTTCAAACTATATTTATTTATTTTATTTTAAAATTAACGTCATTGAAGATGAGAACTTATTAAGGTGAATTTTATCGGGCACTACCTAAGAGAATCCATCTTGTATCTTGCCAGAAATATTTAATGACGCCGGATAAATGGCGGGAAAGCTATTTTACATTATTATCAATATAAGCAATTTTTTTGACAATGAAGGAAAAAAACATGTAAAGGCAAAGTTTTACAAATCTGGGAACCAATAATTTAAAAATGTTTGTTTAGATTCTAACAGATTTAATTTGTTTTCAGACAAAATTCAATTTCTACCAACATTAGGAGGAAAGACAATAGTTATGTATCAAAACTATACATTCTCATATGTGAATGGCAAAAGATGTTTGCGGTGTTCTAGAAAACTGACGATGAAGTGCGATGCTCGTCTCACTCTGGACGCTCAAGGCAACATTGTCTCTGCTTTAACTAAGCATAATCACCCGCCGCCAAAGTTCCATCGAACATCAGAAGGACTATATATTAAATTACAATAAATTGGCAGAAACCAGTATTATTTATATTATATATAAGAAATATCCTTTAAAACTTAGCTGCTGTTAATGTGCTCTATTATCTATCTTCTCTATTTATCTACTTTTTTTATTTTACTGCCACTAATAGTATATTGTTACGAGCTTCGGGTTCGAGACAATTAAAAACTGCCGACTGAATTACCAAAATTGACACTTTAATTACACAACACTAATTACAATCAAAAATCACACTAATAATAAAACACAGTTCGCCGTTATTTCGCTTCGAAGTATTCTCTTGTATCGCCAATTCAATACTGCCCCGGTCGTGGTCTATACCGGCCTTATATAGGGCCGCAGATAGTTTCCAGAACCTTCTACTGTAGCGACATCTAGAATGTTCGAGTACATATCGGTCCCGAAATTTCTGGAAGGATCTCGACTCTCCTAGTTCTGCTACTCGACACTAGAGGGCGCTAGTGTAACTAGTGTTGCCATGTACAAGACATTAATAGTGGCGCGTAACACTGCCCCCTCCTAAGACATGCTCGTCCCGAGCATTATTGGCCCCATAATAACGCGCCAGTCGATCCACATGGACAATCTTAGGAGTACCTCTGGCACCTTTCTGTATCCGGTAGGTTACGTCATTGATCCTTGTCACAATCCGGTACGGTCCGTCCCATTTAGCTTGAAGCTTAGGAGATTTCCCTTTGCTGCGAACTGGATTTTGTAACCACACTAGAGAACCTTCATCAAACCCCTTGTTGTTCATTTTGCGGTCATACCGTGTTTTCATCTTCTCAGACGTTTGCTGGCCCGTCTGTCTGACGTGCTCATAAATGTCATTCATTTTGTTCCGCAAGTCATTTGCATAATCGGTTATACTGCGTGGGGCATCAGGTGGTATTCCGGTGATCAGGTCTGCAGGCAGCCGCAATTCTCTCCCAAAGTTTACGTAAGCTGGTGTCACTGATGTACTTTCGTGAACAGCGCTTCGATATGACAACAAAAACGGTTGTATGTGCCTATCCCAGTCTCGTTGTCGTTTTTCCACAACTTTTGCTACGTACCTCTCCAATGTCTGATTAAATCTTTCTACCATTCCATCAGATTGTGGGTGGTAAGAAGTTGTTCGTGTTTTCTGAGTACCCATAACTCGGCAAGTTTCCTGGAATATTTGAGACTCAAAATTCCTTCCTTGATCGCTGTGAATCTCTAAAGGTACTCCAAAACGACAGAAGACTTCATGAACTAGTTTATCTGCAACGGTTGAAGCTTCTTGATTTGGAATGGCGAAGACTTCTGGCCACTTAGTGAAGTAATCCATCACGACCATGAAATACTTGTTACCACTTTCAGTTTCTGGAAACGGCCCCGCAACGTCAATGGCTATCCTCTCCCATGGTGCACCAACATTGTACAATTTCAATGCGCCCCTACTACGAATTTGAGGTCCCTTTACAGCCGCACAACTTGTACATTTGCGGCACCAGTCCTGGACATCGTCACGACAGTGGACCCAGTAAAACCGTTCTCGGATCTTCAGGAGAGTTCGTTTAACTCCCAGGTGGCCTCCTGAACAACCACTATGGTACAGCTGTAGAATATCCGGCACTTTAGCCTTAGGGACAACCATTTGCAAATGACACCTGTCTCCCCGACCATTTTCCCATTTACGGCACAGGACTCCATCCTGAATCAGCAAGCTGTCCCATTGGGCCCAATAGCTTTTTGTGGTCGAACTCATTGCTGAGACGTCGCTCCACTTGGGCTTAGGAGCACTGGCCTTCATCCATTCCAGAATCGGCTTAATGTCCGAATCTTCCTGCTGTGCATGCTGTAGGCTGTCCTTCCACTCATTGCTGAGCTGGTCTGTCCTGAGCATTCTCACAGATACCACTTCCTTACCCTCTTGCCTAGTACAATGCTTGCAATCTTCAGGGCAAGGTCTTCTTGACAATGCATCTGCATTGCCATGAGATTTCCCGCTGCGATGTTCGATCACAAAGTCGTATTCCTGCAGTAGTTCTATCCATCTCGCAACTTGTCCTTCCGGATTTTTGAACTGCAATAGCCATTTCAGTGCAGCATGGTCAGTTCGTAAGTGGAATTTCCGCCCTAGAAGATATTTGCTAAAATGCTGCAAGGACCTTACCACAGCAAGCAATTCCCGTCTTGTGACACAATAGTTCCTTTCCGGCTTTGACAACGACTTGCTGAAGTACGCTATCACAATCTCTTGATCACCATTCCGTTGAGACAACACACCGCCAAGTCCTATATCACTTGCGTCTGTGTCAACTATGAATTCCTTGCCCGCATCAGGGTACCCCAAAATAGGTGTTTTGCACAGGCGGTTCTTGAGCTCCTGGAATGCAATATCGCAACTTTCATCCCAGCAGAATTGTCGCTTCTCCTCGGTTAGCTTGTGCAGAGGTTTGGCTATATCTGCAAAGTTCTTCACAAATCGCCGATAATAAGAGCACAAACCCAAAAATGCTCTAACCCGTGTCTTGTCTTTTGGGACCGGCCACTCCTTGACAGCAGCAATTTTCTCTGGATCCGTGCGGATACCTTCTTCCGACACTACATACCCCAAAAAACTAACTTGCCGTTTGAATAGTGAGCACTTCTTTGGACTCAACTTGAGGTTGGCACTCTGGATCTTCATGAGCACGCGTTCCAGGTTTTGAAGGTGTTCCTCAAACGTACGGCCTACGATGATGATGTCATCCAAATAGACCAGACAGGCATCTCCAATTAGCCCGGTAAGTACAAGTTCCATCAATCTTTCAAACGTTGCTGGAGCATTGCACAATCCAAACGGCATAACTTTAAATTGCCACAGACCCTTTCCTGTGGAAAATGCAGTTTTCTCCTTGTCCTTAGGGTCAATTTCAACCTGCCAGTAGCCACTTTTCAGGTCCAGCGTACTAAACCACTTTACGCCTGTGAGCATGTCCAGCGTGTCATCAATTCTAGGCAAGGGATAGCTGTCCTTCTTCGTAACGTCGTTCAGGCGGCGGTAGTCAACACAAAACCGCATGCTGCCGTCCTTCTTCTTTACCAGCACCACAGGTGAACACCATGGACTAGATGAAGGTTCAATAACACCATCCTTCACCATTCCCTCAATCATGGTTTCCACTTCCTTTTCACGTGCTACAGGCAATCTTCTTGGCCGCTGACGAATAGGCAATTCTTGTCCTGTGTTTATTTTGTGTTGAACTAAGCCAGTCTTTCCTATGTCAGCTTCGTTTGACGAGAAAACATTGGCGTACTTGAGTAACAACTTCTTCGCCTTGACCATTTCATTCGGGGAGAGAACGCTGCGACAGTCTTCTAAAAGTGTGGTCACTCTCGTTTGTCCATCCTTGCTAGGGGTCCCGGTCGATAGATATTCGCACCGACGCAACCTATCCACTTCCTCACTAGTACCAACCAATGTGCCTTTTTCTATAATCTGTTCCTGATCACAAAGGTTCAACACACGTACTCCTGAGATGTCGGTGGTTCTGACCAAGGTTCGAGCCACTTTCCATGGAAGGTCATTGTCTACCCTTTCCACGAGTACACAACGATGAGCTTGCCCAGGACTCCGAGGAAGACTAACCGGCACAATCGTTTCCGATTTCGGCGGAAGAACAATCTTCTTAAGGCTGTACACATTCCCTGGTAACGCCCCTTCCATGAAAAGTTCTTCTCGTCCACATTTCAAAACACCTTGCTTAACGTCGATCTCACAACAATTCTTCCTCATAAAGTCTAGGCCCAGGATGCAGTCGTCCATTATATCAGCCACGATGACATTATGCAGGTAGATCATGTTGCCTAGCTTCAACTCCATCTCCTTCTCTCCACGGACGGGTATGCGCTGACCAGTGGCTGTCACCAAATTAATGCGTTCTCGGTTGTATGCGGAGTCACCAAGGAACCGACTTATAAGTTGGGAACTGACAACCGTGCGAGAGGCTCCAGTGTCTATGGTCAGTTTACATGGCGTTCCGTTGACTTCGCCCTTGATGATTAGGCTGTTCCCATCATGAGTTTGTGAGATCGAAATCCTTGGGGCTCTTTTAACATCAGCCAGCACCCGCCAGTTTCCCTGCTGCTGCTGGGCGGTGCTATTATCCGCACTACCCTCTCGAGATCGATCACCTTCCCTTCCTACAGTTCGCTTAGGGCAGCTGGATCGAAGATGGCCCCTTTCTCCACAGCCGTAGCACCTAGGGCTGTAGCTTTTATTGCGGTCCTGAACTTTAGCTGTTGCAACCTCCCTGACGCGGTGGGAACGATGATCCTGCCGCACGGCTTCCACCTCCAGTGCATGGGTCAAGGCGTCCTTAAGCGTCTCGTGGTGCCCGAGCCTCACAGCAGCTCTGACTTCAAGGTCACGGATGCCGTCGATGAATGTCTGCACCAGGTTCCCTACAATAAGCGCAGGTACAGACTGGTACGCTTTTCGAACCAGCTTCTCCACCTCAAGGGCCCACTGCTGCAGGTTTTCGTTACTGCGTTGCACGCGATCTTTGAGCTGCGCACGAAAGACGTGTTCCAGGTGAGCGTCGCCATATCTCGCCTCCAATGCCTCAAGGAGCTGCTCGTAAGTCACTTCCTTACCGAGAGCTTCCAGAACAGTTAATGCCTGGTCGCGCAGGCCTAGGGTGAGAGCAGTCATGGCCTGACTTTTATTCCAGCCGTTCGCTTTCATGACAGCCTCGAACTGGATTTTATAGGCCGACCAGGAAGAAGTCCCGTCGAACGGCGGCACTTTGAATCCACGTAGCGAAGGTGTTGTAGCTACCACGGGAGCTGTAACTCCATCCCCAAGTTTGAGGTCGTCCAGCGTTTTCTTCACATCAGCCATCACGTTGTCAACCCGATTGTTCACTTGGTCGATTCGGGTTTCAGCTTCCGACAGGCGGTTGTCATGTTGAGCAACCCTATCCTTCACCTCCTTTATCTCTTTCCCGAAGGTAGCGTGAAGGTCCTTCCTGAGGAGCATCTGTTCTTCCATA